TTTGAGTTGGCTCATCATCAGTGTGATTTCAATTGTTATCCTCGCCGGTTCTACTTATGATTGGTTGTTGGGAGTGTGTCAGAGAGAGAGAAACACTGTGTGTCTTCTCCCCATCTGTGCATGGTTGTATTCCGCTGCCTACTCTGATTTGTGTGCAGTGTCTCCTCTCCCCCCTCTCTTATACATGTATGGGCGTGTATGAGATTGTCCGTGTGTGAGTGGAGGTAAAAATCGTCAGACAACCAAGTTCATAACAGTCGGTATCAGAGCTGGGATTGGAATTGGAACACTGAGAGTTGAGCGCACTGAGACATCTTCTTCATCTGGCGATCTACTGGCGAGAGTTTCATGGCGATTCATCTTCCCCAGTACTGAGTCAGCAGGGAAGAAGACTTTCAGCGGTGGATTCAAGTGTTCAGTGGTTGCACTTAGGAAGCACACTGAGCCTGTCAGGGCGCTTGTCAGGAAGTGGCGAGTACAGGGCTAATTTGCTATAGCCAACCCTGAGGATAGTCCTGCGAATTACCCCAGAGTGGCGAATTACCCCTGAGGACATCAGGGAACCCTGAGCTTCATCATCCCTGGGTTGCGCTGAGGGAAATTGACCTACTTTATCAATCTCCAGGAGAAATAACCCCATTTGGGGCTATTTATAGCATCAACGACTACCAGGCACTGTGGCGAGATATTTTGGTGTTGGCTATATGGGCGCCACAGGACCAGATACAGTGCATCTGGGTTGAGGGAGTGCAGCGCTACAGGATCCTGAGGAGGATCAAAGAATTTGAAGGTGTTCTATGCGTGGAAGTGTCATGAGGAATATCTGGGAGAAAGTGGCGAGATAGGGTTACCATCAGCCATAGCCAGATCTTCATCATCACCTGCAAGATTCTTTGAAAGTGAGTCCGTTCCATGCACCTACCTGTATTGCGATCCAGATAGTATGAGTTTAGTTAATTATAATGGTCTATCTGTATGTCAGTGACTGGATGTGGAAATCGCAGACTACATGATAGCCATAGCCATCTCTTCCCTACCTCTCTCTGCTCATTTCTCACCCTCTGTTGACTCTTTCTGATCCAAAATTGTTATGTGACTGCTATACTGCATTGCGATTATTCAGGGATGCTCAAACTATGAATTCTATACTAGAAAGGTAGTGATACTGGGAATTGCAGTTTTGCGCTGAGTCTATTTTTAGCTTGTGCTACCTAGGGTCAGTCGTAACTTCAATTTTGTCCGTCAGAATTTAGTTATGTCAGTCCCCAATGAATCGCAATCCAAAAACAGGTAATACTGTAGAATCGCAGAGTTGGATTTGCAGTACTTCACTAGATACAGTGAATAAAAGTACTTCGCCATACCCTAGGGTATGGCCACCAGAGTCATCAGAGTCTAAAACTGAGTCTGAGTCAGGATACAGGGTATTTGTCTGCATCGCTTGTTGTGGCTGATCCCTCTAATCAGTACTAATCATCTTCTATCATTCTCACTGATGACACTTGTTTTGTAGTGAATACTGAAAATCTAGTGGGTCTCTGGAAGAGTAGGGAGTGATTCTACTAACTCTAGTGTGGTCCAGGGTCAGTAAAAGGAAATCGTGTGTGACTGATTTTGCTGGACTTACAGTCTGTCTAACACCTGACCCTAGAGGCACCCTTCCAACCCAAATCGTTGATTGCCTGTACACCCACCTACCCCAGTGTCTGAGTGCGGCAGCGATTCCAGGGTGTCTGAAGGAATCGGGGTATCGCTGCAAACTCTGTTTGCTGTTTGTTTTATTTTTGGTTTTATTTTTGGTTTTATTTTTGGTTTTATTTTTGGTTTTATTTTTTGTTTTATTTTTGGAACCGGGAAAATGTCTGATCAGGGGGCTCAGCAACAGCCACAGGTGGAAGTGGTGATGAAGGTGGAAGGTGAACAACTTTCAACCTCCACTCCTCCTCCACCTCTGACTGCTACTCAGCGGTTGAAGAAGGAGCTGGAAGAACAGTTGTGGCAGCAACAGGCTAGACTTGCAGAAGTGGAGCAGCGGGAGGCAGCTGAGCTAGAGGCTGCAACAGATCATTCAAGAAGAGAATATCTTTTGCAGCAGCTAGAGAAGTCGCTCACCGATGACCGTTGTCCCCAGACAACTAAGCACATGGCGGAAATGATCTTGCTATAGCACAAGATCACCAGCTCCCAGTTCACGAACTAGGATGATCACTTCGTGCGACTGGAGCGTCGGGTTGACGAGTTGTCAGCTCAGCAGTCCAAGATCCTGGATTCCATTCGGAACTTGACTGCTCAACTGGCAGCCGCCAAGCTGATTACTCCTCAGCTCCCCCTTCTGAAACCCAAAACGTCTCCTCCTCCTTCACCCCCTTCCTCACCACATCCATGCCATGTTGGTTCTGTACATTCTTCCCGGTCATCTACCCCTTCTCAAAAGGCCTCAGGAAAGACCACCTATGCTGCTATGACTGCAGGAGACCAAAGAGGTCCCAAGATCCCTGCTCGCAACAAGTTCAGGGGCAATGACCCCAAGACCGATGTTGGGGACTGGGCTGTTGGGACCAGAGCCTACTTGAGGGGCTTTGTCTGTGCAGAACAAACCAAGGTGGCAACTATACTGGGACTGCTGGAAGGGCCTGCACTGAAGTGGGCTTTTGAGCTTGGGGTACACAAGCTTCTGCAGGCCCTGGAGGACCGATTTGCAGACAAGGAAAGGGCCCGCAAGGCTGCTAACAGGATTACTCGCCTGGGACAGCAGCGGTACAGCGGCACCCTGCAGGCCTTATTTGCTGAATTCGAGCAGCTTACCTCCACCCCTGGGTTGGTCATGTCTTCTGACGACTTGCTGACCAACTTCTGCAGGGCAGCGCCTGAGAAGTTTGATATGGCATTATACAGCGCTGGGCACAAGGACTGGAGGTCCTTCGGTCGTGCAGCCCTGGAAATGGAGGCCAAGCTCCATGTCCAGGCCCCATCCTCTGATAGGAGGAAAGGTGCCTTCCCCAGAGGTGGCAGAAGGGGAAAGGCAGCCTTCACTCATGCGGGGTCTGCCTCAGGATCAGATTCTGATTCCCAGCCTGATGCACCTTCAGGTGGGACCGGATCTGCTGCTGAGACAGATGTTGCAGCAGTCGTGACTCAGACTGTTTTGGGAGCTCTGCAGCTGCAGACGAAGTTCTCTCCCACCACAGCCTCAGTCAGTGCCAAGGGGAAGGAAAAGGGACGTCGGCCTTCCTCTTCCCAGCGCCCTAACCTGCCCAAAGACGTCCATATGTCAGTTGAACCTCTCAATCCCTCCACACTCCCCTGGCATAACCTCAAGATCCAAGAGGGAGTCTGGAGAAGACGAAAGGAAAGAGGGGTCTGGCTGAGGTGTGAGGGTCAGCATTTCCTGAAGGACTGCCCTTACATGCCAGGTCCAGGTCAGTCAAAAAACTGAAACAGCCCCTGGGGACTGCAGTTCCCCCCAGTGTTGCACCTTCATCTACTCAGGTAGGTGAATCTGCAGTTGTTTCAGTTGAGACTGTGAGTGATAGTGATGGTTTGGGGATTGCGCGAGCAGCATCCTTTTGCTATGAGGATCCTGACCCGGATCAGGACCCGGGGCAGGATGAGCTCCAGTCCATTGCTGCCTTCTTCCTTCATCTGAAGGAACAGAAGAAGAGCAAGACTGATCTCATCATGCTTCGGCCACTATTCAACAGCACCAGGATCACTGGGTTGTTGGACTGTGGAGCCACCAGGAACTTCATGTCTCCCAGTGCAGTTAAAAAGTTGCACCTGGGCATGAAAGTTCAGCAGCTGCAGCAACCGCTGCTGGTGCGGATTGGTGACTCTACAGTGCTCAGCATCAGGGAGAAGGTCAAGGGTATCCCCGTGACCTTCAACACTGCTGGAAAAGTCAGACACAGTCTGAACTTTTACATTTTCCCTGAGCTGCCTTTTGACTTGGTGTTCTCCATGTAGTGGTTGAGGGCAGTCAACGCTAGGATCGACTGGCAAATCCCTAGAGTTGAGCTACCAGACAGCCAGGGTGTGTATCAGCCATGCATGATTGTTGCTGATCACCACCCTAAGACTTCCTGCTACTGCCTGAGAGCGAGGGAGTTTCATGCTCTCTCACGCCAGTACCACCATGAGCGTCTGTTTATTGCTTTGGTCAAGCAAACAGATGTTCCCCCTGTTTCCTGTCCTCCTGACATACAGCAGGTGGTGGATCAGTATGCTGATCTGATGCAGGAGCCCTTTGGGTTACCCAACCGGCCAACCAAGCATCACATCGAGTTGCTGCCTGGAGCGGTCCCTCCTAACGGCCGCATCTACAGGATGTCCCCTACTGAGCTTGAGGAGCTCAGAAAGTAACTTGAGACCCTGACCAGCAAGGCTGGATCAGACCCAGCACATCTGAATTTGGTGCACCTGTTCTCTTTGTACCCAAAGGGAACGGCGAGTTCAGGATGTGCATTGATTACAGGGTCTCAATAAGATCACTAGGAAGAGTACTGAGCCACTTCCTAGGATCGATGACCTCCTGGACATGGTGCAGGGCTGCACAGTGTTCAGCAAAGTCGACCTCAAATCTGGCTACCACCAGATTGAGATGGCAGAGGAGGATGTCTACAAGACAGCCTTCAAGACCAGGTGTGGGACCTACGAGTTCCTGGTGATGCCATTCGGACTTTGCAACGCCCCAGGCACCTTCCAGACAGAGATGCACCGCATCTTCATGCCTTACCTGGACAAGTTTATGGTTGTCTACCTGGATGATATCCTGGTATTCAACAAAATTGCCAGGGAACATGCGGAGCACTTGGCTCTTGTCCTTCAGTCGTTACGTGACAGCCAGTACAAGATCAACATAGATAATTCCTCCTTTGGAGTTCCCTCTGTCATCTATCTGGGTCATGTAATCTTTGGAGATGGCCTGGCTCCTGAAGCAGCCAAGATAGCTGCTATTCAAGAGTGGTCTCAGCCTCAGACAGTGAGGGATGTCCGGTCCTTCATGGGTTTAGCCTCCTACTACAGAAAGTTTGTCAGGAACTGTTCTGCAGTGGTTGTACCCTGACTAACCTAACAAAGAAGGACACTCCCTTTCTTTGGTCCCTCCACTGTCAGTTGGCCTTCACACGACTCAAAAAGGCCTTCACACGACCCAAGAAGGCCTTGACTCGTGCGCCTGTACTGAAGTTACCTGACCCCACTATGCCATTCATCCTGACCACTGACGCCAGTCAGTATGGCATTGGGGCAATTCTTCAACAGGATGATGGGAATGGCCTACGGCCTGTAGAGTTCATGAGTAAGAAGATCAAGACTCAAAAGCTCCAGGACTCTACCTACGAGAAAGAGCTATATGCTCTTGTCTGTGCCCTGAAACATTGGAAGCACTTTCTCCTGGGCAGGCGCTTCAAGATCTTTTCAGATCACTCCACCCTACAGTGGATGAAGTCCAAGGGAGAGTTGAACGATAAGCTGGCACGATACATTCAGTTCATTGACATGTTTGACTTTGAACTGAAGCACAAGAAGGGCTGCTACAACAAGGTAGCAGATGCCCTCTCTCGTAGGCCTGACTCTTTTGCGTTGATCTCCTCTACTCACTCCTTTGGGGAGGAGACCCGTCAGACCATTGCTCGTCTACTGCCTCAGGACGAGACTTTCGGACCCATTGTCAGGAATCTGCAAGCAGATCCTAACTCTGACCCAGACTATGCTCTGAGTTCAGACCTACTGTACACCTACAGTAGAGGGGAGGAGCGCTTGTTCATTCCCCAGGACCAGCGGCTCAGGACACTACTGTAGTCAGAGTGTCATGATGTCCATGGACATTTCGGGTTCCTAAAGTCTTATGCAGCCCTGTCGCAGCGCTTCTTCTGGAAGGAGATGCGGAGTGATATGCTGCGTTATGTGGACACCTGTGAGCTCTGCCAAAGGAACAAGGTTCAGCGTAGACCTCCTTTGGGACTGCTCAAACCTTTACCCATACCTGATGGCCCTGCTGAATCTGTGTTGATAGACTTCACAAATTTAGGCAAGACCACCCCTCGTGGCATACATCAGGTTATGGTCTGCGTGGATAGGTTCTCCAAATACGCAGAGTTCATCCCTTGCCAAAGGTAGCTAGGGTACCGGCTGTGAGAGCAGCCTTCTCTGAGAGGTGGGTCACACACCATGGACCGCCCACTTCTATCGTCAACGATCGAGACCCCATATTTTGCAGCAATGAGAGGCAGTCCTACTCTAAGGACTATTTGCACTCACGCCTGGACATGACTTCTGACCATCATCATGAAGCCAATGGTTTGGCTGAAGTGATGAACCAAGTCTTATTCCAGCTGCTGCGTCCTGTCATCTCCCTAGATCAACAGGACTGGGATCTTCACTTAGCGAGGGCACAACTCATGTATAACATGTTTGTCCACTCCTCGACAGGGTTCAGTCCCTACCGGTTACACTGGGGACGTGAACCACGTCAGCCTCTCGATGATATCATCGATAAGGCTAAGCCCGATCTGACACCAGGCACAGCAGAGTTCACCAGACGTTATCGTTTGGATGTGGAAAGAGCGCGAGCGAACTTGTTCAAAGCCCAAAAGGCTATGATTGAACAAGCTAATCGCCATAGGCGGCCTTCCCCCATCCGCACTGGTGATCACGTCTGGGTGGCCAGTTCTGAGTTGTCGAGGGAGGAGGATATCTCCCCCAAGCTATTGCCACGTTACCTGGGTCCATGGCAGGTCCTAGATACAATGGGCGCTAATCCCTTCGGTCTGTCCTACGTTATCGACGTCCCGTTGCATCTACGTACCTACCCGGTCTTCCATGCATCTAAGCTGCTTCCTTTCACTCCACCTGATGCATTCCCAGACCAGCCCCCTCAATTTGGTCCACCGATCTCTGGCAAGGGATATGACGTGGAATGGATTGAGGACGAGTGGGGCACCAGCCCCGACCGGCAGTATCTTGTGAGGTTCGCATTCCAGCGTCCTTCTAAGAACAGATGGTTCTACAGAAGGGAACTTCTCAAGATATCAAAGTCAGTTGTTTTGCGATATGAAGCGGCTCAGGGGCAACCTTCCTCGCCGTTCACCTCGCCTGCATCCCTAGCTCTGAGGTCCTCGCTCCCGGGGAGGGTAAGCCTGCAATGACTTGCTGATTCTGACTGCCGAGATTGACTGCGAGGCTGTACACTAACCGGAAGGGTTAGATTCGTAATTTTGTTTGGCTGAGGGCTAACTGAGAGACCTGCCTGTAAGGAAATTCGTGAGGGACATATCTGCAAATCTGGGAAAATACAGACCCAGCACTAACTCGAATTCCTACAGCTACCCTAACTGCCTATAGCAGACCCGGGCTACCCCTAGGACTGACAGGCCCTAAGCGGCCTATGCTGCTAGACAGTCCTATAGCCTGTAGCCGGGTCCGGTAGAGGCAGAGAGGCCGAAACAGCAACGGTACCGGTCGGTCAGTCAGTCCGGTCTAGGTCTAGGTAGTCTATAGATAGGTTAGGCCCATCGGTTCAGGATTTTTGGCAGTTCATTTCTCGCGAAGCAGCGTTGGAGAAGCCAAGCAAGTTGGTGGCGGTGATGGTCTACAGGCGGCATCCTGAGACTCGCCGTTTGACGGCAGTCATAGCCGGCCCAGTCTGAGTCTGCAATAGCTGGGGCATCCTCAGCGCATCTACCTCTGGGGGTATCTGCGTACGGCCGGGCTACATCGAGGCTCTACAGTGTGTTCGTGGGTGGTGGCAGCCATAACTGCCTGTTCCTTCGTCAGAGTTGTCCATCGGCGCTAAAGACTTCATCGCAGGACCTGTTCTTCATCAGGGTGGTTGGTGCTGGCCTCTGGGAGGCCATT